GCATCCCAAGCCTGGACTCAGATTGATCACATCGCGATCAGCTACCGCTGGCGTGGTTGTGTACAAGACTGCCGCTCCTTTTGGAGTACCTATCTGGACTCTGACCATGCCTTGGTCTGTGCCAATCTTGCCTTACTTTTCAGTGGACAACGAAGTGAACGCCATCAACGGATTGATGTTAGCAAGCTGGTTGCAACTTCGGTTGCAAGTAAGTATCGAACCGAGCTAGCCTCTAGGCTAGCTACCACTCCACCGAAAAGTATAGATGAGCATTGGTTGCAATTGCATGACGCCATGAAAATGGCGGGAACAGTCAGTTGTGGGTTTGCGAAACGTCCCGCTTTTAAGCACTGGGTTTCTTCTGGTTCCTTACAACTCATTGAAGCCCGTCGGTCTACTCCGGGTGACCGTGAGTTTGACCATAAACGAAGGATGTTATGTAAGGAAATCGGGCAAAGCTTGCGTAAGGACCGAGAAGCCTGGTGGTCGATGCGTGCTAATGAGCTGGAAGCAGCAGCTGCATCTGGTAATTACCGGAAGCTCTTCCAGCTCATCCGAGCCACTGGCAGCAAGAAGTCTGGTGTGAGTGAAACAATCTGCGAGGATGATGGGATGATAATCACTAACATCCATCGACGTCTTGGACGGTGGGCAGAATTTTTCGAAGGGCAGTTTAACTGGCCTGCTGCTCAGGCAACATCAGTCAGACTGTCCTGCCCTCCATGGCCGGTGACGACTGATCCACCAAACGAGGAGGAAGTCCGCAAGGAACTCCAACTCTTGAAGCGATACAAATCACCTGGCCCAGATGACTTACCTCCGGCTCTTTTTAAAGATGGTGGTGACTTTTTGACTAAGGAATTGACGACGTTGTTCACAAAGGTTTGGGAACTAGAGAGTGTGCCAACGTCATGGAATGAGTCGATAGTTGTCCCTATCTTTAAAAAGGGTTCACGTCGTTCTTGTAACAACTATCGGGGGATAAGTCTACTTCCGATTGCGTCCAAGCTATTGGCTTCCGTCATTCTTCGTAGGTTGTTCAAAACCCGAGAAAGATTGACTCGCGAGGAGCAGGCTGGTTTTCGTTCTGGTCGAGGATGTATTGATCATATCTTCACCCTCCGCCAAATGTTAGAACACCGCCATACTTATCAAAGGCCAACAATCGTAGTGTTTCTTGACATCAGGGCTGCCTTCGATTCGTTGGACAGAACTGTTCTCTGGGATTGTCTATTGAAGAAGGGTGTGCCTGAGAAGTTTATTAACATCCTAAAAGCCCTATATAAAAACACCTCAGGCAGAGTGAGGGCATACAACCACCTTCCTCCATTGTTCCATTCGAGTAGTGGGGTTAGGCAGGGTTGCCCAATCTCACCATTCCTCTTCAACTTTGTCATCGATGACATTCTGGAAACAGCTCTGATGAATGTAAGTAATGGTGGTGTGGATCTGTTGCCTGGAGAAAGACTTCTCGACCTTGAGTATGCGGACGATATTGTCTTACTGTGCGATAATGCCCAAGGCATGCAATCCGCACTTAATCAGTTGGCAATCAGTGTCCGTAGGTATGGTATGTGCTTTGCACCTTCGAAGTGCAAAGTACTCCTACAAGACTGGCAGGATTCCAATCCTGTACTCACCCTGGATGGTGAACAGATAGACGTAGTCGAGAAGTTCGTGTATCTGGGTAGCTGTATAAGTGCTTGTGGGGGTGTGAGTGATGAGATCAATGCACGAATAGTGAAAGCCAGAGCGGCTTATGCCAATCTGGGCCATCTATGGCGCCTTCGTGATGTTAGTCTGGCCGTAAAAGGTCGGATCTACAACGCGTCGGTGAGAGCAGTTTTGCTCTATGCTTGTGAAACCTGGCCTCTCCGAGTTGAGGACGTTAGACGACTCTCTGTGTTCGATCATCGCTGTCTCCGAAGGATTGCTGACATTCAGTGGCAACACCATGTCAGTAATGCAGAGGTTCGGCATCGTGTGTTCGGGCACAGAGATGATAACTCAATTGGTGTCACCATCTTGAAACACCGGCTTCGGTGGCTTGGACATGTTCGCCGAATGTCGTCCCAGAGAATTCCACGTCGTGCATTATTTGCTGACTCTGGGACTGGTTGGAAGAAGCGGAGAGGTGGTCAGTGCATGACATGGTGTCGTGGCATGAAAGAAAGCTGCAAAGGACTGGCGTGTGTTGGTTCTTCACGACTCCCTGGTTGGGGTCTGAGAGATGGTGCTACACAGTGGCTAGAGACGTTATCAGATATGGCTCAGAATAGAAGCCAGTGGCGATCCTGCTGTAACCTTCTTTTACTTTCTTCATAAACAGTGGTTGTTTCTCCCTTACCTGAAAGATTTCTTCCGATTGTACCTTTGCGTTCCCTGATTACTAGCACATTACCTTGCACCAATCTCTTCGTTAATGTTCTCTTTTTTTTTGTTGCGCTCCTTAGCTTTTTTTTTTTTTTCTTTGTATTCCTCTCGAATTTTCATTGTTTTGTGTGGCGCATATATATTGGCGCTCCCCTGTACCAATATTCATGTGTCCAAATAAATAAATAAATAACTGTTCTTAAAACTAAAATTCCCAAATGATACTACCGAAAAAATTGTGACTCAAAAGTTAAGTTAGGAGGTACAGAACCATTTAATGCAGGCAGAGTGCTGTTGTTTACAACCAACCCATAATAAGAATAATTAATAAAGACAGATTGCCGAAATTCGCCACATCCATGTCTATTCACCAATTCAACTGCTCCTATGGAGCCAGTTATATAGGGTGTACAATTCGGCAAGTCTGTCATCACATAGTAGAACACCATCCGTCTTGGCTGAGCAAAGGACGGCTAATAGTGTTTAAGAGTTCTATTCTCGCTTACTTGGTGGACACAGGTCACCAAGCTGGATTGAATGAAGCTTTTGAGGTTACCCACCATATTCAATCGACTTTGCTGCGTGGTCTGCCAGCTCATCTTTTGCACATTGCTGAAGCCATTGAAAACCATGTTCACAAACCAAACCTTTGCATCAAAAAGAAGTTTGTACAACCGCTCTCGTTACATTTGCCATCGGTGTAGGAGTGAGTTGGTAGCAGAACTACGATAAGTAAACTATAATAATACTCTCAGCATTCATCCCTTGACTCCTACATAACTACCATAATACTGACCTTCCATCAAAATATTTTATTAGTTCCCTCTTTTCTATAAATTATGCAGCGTATCAACTTCCTGGTTTTCGAATAATTACTTTTATTATAATCCTCTTCCTTCCAATTACACGATCTTATTTTGTAATCAATATGCCATTATGTAACTATCGCGTAACGTAACTACTCGATGAGTATTATTTCATTGTTGTAAATCATACATATGTATATTAGTGTAGAACCATAATGAAGAACTAATTGGGAAGAAATTTATTCGCTCGACTCGTTCATTTTATTAACAATGACCTTTAGAAAAAGCATATGAAGGCGTATAGTCTAGAAATTTCTGAGGGTGTCGATTTTCGGAAAATAATGACTAGAGTTATCATTGTGTTTTTTGTAAATTAAATAGTTGGGATCTCTTTGGCAAGCTTAATACTAACTGATATATCGACCACCTCGTTGAATAATTTTAATCAATCTTGCTCAATCATAACAAAGTTTTCACCTACATACAGTGAACAGATTTCCGGTGGAGTCGTACATTTTGTTGCTCCATCCGTTTCGAAAGAATGCATGAATAAATCCTCTGTAATCAGTGGAAATAGGGATCCAATAGCTACTTTTTTCAGATAATAGATCCTCTTGAAAAATGAATAGGCCAGAATGTAAACATGATTTCGGACATTTAATAAACCCTGAGAAATTTGGCATGTAACGTAATTTTAAGTCAGTATCAGATTCCACGACGGTTATAAATGAGAAAATTAGAGGATTAGGAAGTATGTTGTGATTTAATGACTTAGGAGTTAAAGGTCCTTCATGTTTAAAAAAACATACTGATTGCGTAAGCATGGATTCAGTTGGTTGCCACGGATCTATCACTCGTCTCATGAGTTTCTTTGAATTACTAGTTCTAATTATGTACACAACTCAACGCCAAAATTAAATCCCTGATGACTTTTCTATTTTTTTATAAATTGTTAATTTATATCACCTACTGTCTGTCAAGCTAAATGTCGATCTTAGTTTATCAATATCATTTTAACAGTTATTATTGCTCGTCAGTAAAGTATGCTTTCACCATCTGGGATTGGACTACACATATGGGTTGTCAAAATATTAGCACTCGAGCACGTATTACCTACAATTTGACGGATAAGCACACCATTGATTTAGACTTGCGTTTAATTGTTCTTAAAAAAGCACGAGTCGCAGGAAATGATGACAATTTGCAAACAGAGTTGGTGAATACATAGTTCGCTAATTTCGATCAATTCAATTTCACATACTCTTCGATTGGCGAGACCGAAATTTGTGGACGAACCAATCAGATTTACGATAACAGGTCTTGAATTTTGGTGCGAAGTCAATCCATTCACTTGGCTCAATAGTTCTGGCATTATATCTAATGTCTGTTAGCGATGAAAACACTAAATCCAATCCTTAACCCTAACTATCAACTGTAGACATCCTAATCACTCACACTGGTTGATTACCCTTATTTAGCTGTAAAGTATATGTCGACATTCCCAAGATCTTTTTAGAGTCGCTTTAAGGTTTTTCATAAATTATAGTCTCACCCTTCGATCGATTAACACAGGTTCATCAACCTATTATCCTTATTACTGAAGACTGATTCGGGGACGCCAAGTGATGTCAAGTTTTTATCATGAAATCTTCCTTACTTTGGCTATTACTATTTGGTTCTACTACATTTGGAGTGAATCGATCCTGTGAGTTAACACGAAGAAGTGGAGGTGCATAAAATTCTGCTCACTGGTTACTTATGTTGATATTAGTGCATATAAGTGCTAACCATAATACCACAAAAACTGGCAATTACTCTTACTTTAACAATTCCAGGGAACAATTCACAGAAAATTTCAGACTTCAGGTTAAAATCTCCGCTGGTTTTGGCTAGCTGTTTTTTAGTGCATGTTGAAGTCACAACACTACCCATGGTACACGTATTCTCCAGCATAAAACTCAGTAAGCCCGTTAGTATAGATGAAACAGACCATGCAGGATTCCATGTGTCGGGATGAAAATCACTTATTGATAGACACAGTCTACAAGAAAAATCAGCTATACCATAACATTCCCACCTCGTGTTACATGCGAATCTACCGTTTGGTGTTATCATGTATATTGAAGGAGGTCGAAATGGAAAATCTCTCGGAAAAACAAGTTTCCCATGGTAATAACCTCCTTTATAAGGTGAATCAGCTGGTCCTTTGATGACATAATGCCACTCAAACAGGTTAGTTGGAAGTGGCTCTGCAGTTATATAAGGAACCGGGTCCTTTGAAAGCCTTAGGTAGTCTTGTTTCAATCGCTGTAGTGCAGTTGAACAGTTCACTGAACGATTATTACCAGCCATCAAGAATGTCGTAACGCATATGTTGATTTGTACGGTTGTTAAAGATTCAAATGGTTCAAATGGTTGTGGACGGAATAGAAGAAGCTTTCGCTTAACAGGCTTCCGTGTCTAGTAGCAGGGGATCACTAAATCCTTCAGGCAGGAACCTAGGTATGTTAACAATAAAAAAGGAAAAGAAATTGGTAAATCATAATGTGATGCTGTCCTTGGTCCTTAAGAATAGGTCAAGTTGCCTCTTGAAGGACTCCTGAGAAGTCGCTTGGACTAGCTCGGCCGGCAGCGAATTCCAGCTTTTGACAACTCTTAAGGAGTAGAAGTTGTGTCTACATTCCGTCTTGCTATGTTGTGTCTCCAGTTTCTGGGTGTTACCCCTTAGGTTATTATTCGAACTAAGCTTAAGTAGGTGTTTAAGAGGATGTCCAGAAGTGTTAAGAATGCTATAAGCCATTAGTAAATCACCTCTAAGACGCCTATATTCTAGTGGGTAAACGTCTAGTGAACGGAGGCGTTCTTCGTAAGGCTTAGATTTGAGTCCTCGAACTGATTTCGTGGCTCGCCGTTGGATACGCTCCAAGGTGACCTTGTCCTTTTGGAGTGAGGGGGGAGTACTATGTTTCCGTACTCTAAATGGGGACAGATGAAACTATTGAAGATTGTGTGGAAAGTTCTTCCGTCAAACTGTCCAAAAATGAGCTTCAACGTTACCAGTGCAAGGTTTGCTCGGAAGGCATTTTTGTCACAGTTAGCGTAAGACTTTAAGTCATGGGGCACCAGGACTCCTAAATCTTTTTCAACTTGGGATACTACTAGAGAGGAGTTTCCTAAGTTGTAACTGTAGTTTGCGACATGTCGCAGATGGACTACTTTACACTTTGAAATGTTAAAGGTAAGTCCGTTATCGTCTGCCCAACTTTGAAGTCGCGTCAGATCCTCCTGAAGTGCCTGTGTATCGTCTTGGTTGCGTATCTCTCTCCAAAGTTTCACGTCGTCGGCAAAAAGTAGTAAGTCTGACGTTACCTGTTGAGGAAGATCATTTATGTAGATCAAGAAGAGAAGAGGCCCTAGTACTGAGCCCTGGGGAACCCCACTAGGACATTCCATAGCCTGAGATAAAGTGAAATTAACCCTAACCTTAAAGTGTCGATTTTTTAGGTATGAAGTAAGCCAATCGATTAGAGGTGGTTTGATACCTAGTCGTTTGAGCTTGTTGATAAGACACAAGTGATTAACCTTATCAAAAGCTTTTGAGAAATCAAGGTAAATGACATCAACCTTTCCCTTGCAATCAAGGATGCTTGTCCATCTGTCCACCGCAGTCAGCAGGTTGGTTATACAAGAGTAACCCTTCCTGAAACCATGCTGTTGGGGTGGGAAGAAATTTAAGGACAGTAGATAGTCGTTTAAACCGTCGCATATCAGGGACTCCATGAGTTTTGAAGGTAATGACAGAAGAGCCACCGGCCGATAACTTGAAGGTCCATTGCGTCGACCACCTTTGAAAATTGGTGTGATGTGAGCCAACTTCCAGTTTTCCGGTAATTTGCCTCGTCTAAGCGAGTGTGAAAACATCACGCTAAGCGGCGTTGCCAGGATTGAGGCTGCCTCCCTCAGTATGGCAGGATGAACCATATCCGGGCCAGGAGAAGTGTCAAGTCTTAAGTGCTGCAATTTCCGGAACACCAAGTCAGCGCTTAGGTCCACTTCAGAAAGTCCTGTGGAGTTGGAGATGAAACTGTCGTCAATAAAGTTGATGTCAGCCGGTTGAAATGTTTGAGAGTAATGTGCCGCCAGAAGGTTAGCGGTGTCGCCATCATTGTTGGTCGGGCCGTTAAGACCGAGCAGTTGAGAAACTCCTGTTTTGGCTTGACGAAGAGAGGCTGCATAACGGAATAGGCTTCTAGGGTTAGAGGCGAATTTGTCCATAAGCTTTGTTTGGTACTGAAGCCTGTCTTCTCTTATAGCCTTCGTGCATATGTTCCTGATATGTTTATATTGCCTATACGCTCCATCGTTATCAGTTCGTTTGTATTCCGCCCAACAGTGTCTTTTGCGGCTTAGCAGGCGAAGGGTACGGTTCTTGATTCCTGTAGGTGGCTTGCAGCTTTTGGGAACCGTTTGAGGAACTGAATGGTTTGTAGCACATAAGAGCGTGTGCAGTAAGAAGTCCCAATGACCATCCACATCGAGTTGAGGGTGAACATCCCAAACCACCTGTTGTAGATAGTCATGTAGAGCTGGCGCATTCAGCCGTTTAAAATTCCAACGCAAATTATTGTTGGGATACCTTAGCTTAGTTTTGATGACAAAACTGAAGGCTATGACGGCATGATCGCTCTTTCCCAGAGGAGCCAGGATTGAGAGGTTGTCGACTAGGAATTCTTCGTTAGTGAATACACAGTCTAAGTGCGATGGTGTCTGACTGTTTCTCCAACGAGTTGCCGACCTCACATTTTCATATAAGCCCAAGTCAACGATGAGGTTGAAGAACCGAGCTTCAGTTGAGTTGTCGCCTCCAGTGTACGTGTGTTCCGCGAAGTTGACTCTAGGGAGATTAAAGTCCCCTAGAATCAGGATGTGTGTGAAACCGAGACGGATAGAGCGGGATAGTCCTTCCAGCATACGACTATCGTACTCGGTGTCGGCAGTTGGCTTCCTGTAAATGACTCCGACTAGACACCTCAAAGTACTAGACAATCTTACAGAGCACCATATGGATTCCTCAAGATTGTTAAACTGGAGGTTGTGAACCTGGTGCACCTCCAAGCAAGAGCTTATGTATATGGCTACTCCGCCCCCAATTCCTGTTTTTCTGTCGTTGCGGAACAAAGTCATCCCAGGCAATGCTAACTCTTGGTCCGAGAACTGAGAAGATATCCAGGTTTCGGATATTCCTATCAGATGGGCCTTATTAGCGTTGCTAAGTTCACGTAGTTCATCCAGTTTGTTTGGTAGACTCGCGGCGTTCATATATAAGCAGTTTATGCTTTCAATTTGGAACTCGTGAGCTTCGTCCTGTTTTTCTGTATGAACCTTATGTGAATGGACAGGTAGCCCACCTATGTGAGGTTTGCCGAGGTGGTAGGCCCTGTCCTTTACACGTTTTTTTATCGTTTAGATAGTCCACAAGTGGAATGGTCAGCTCCAACTTGTCTTTGTTCTTGGTCCTAACTTCGTATGGCCTATCCGGGTGCATGTGGATTCCAGGTGGCAATCGACGTCTATTAGCACGAAATGCTTCCAGAACTGCAGCCGCCATGTGGGAAGATGGGAAGGTTATCTTCATTAGACGGGGTCTAAGATCACCGTCCTTCTCGGCTAGTCTCGTCACATGCTGAGTCAGTATGTGTTTGAGCCTCAAGGACTGTTTGATGAATTTCCATTCCCTGATGTCAGAATTTGATTGAGTAGGTTCTGCATTTTCCGGTATACCTTGGACAATTATGTTTCTTCCGCGGAAAAACTTCTCGCGAGATTCTTTAGGGACGTTTCGTATGATACTGCGCTCAGAGTACGGTATGTCGGGCAGTATTCTTACGTTACCATCTGATTTCAGCAAGTGGCTTGCTAGCAAGACGTCCTCTACGTCGGTAGCAGACTTAAGTGTTACTCGGAGAAGCCTCGGGTGATTTAGATGCTTAGAATCCTTTCCTCGAGTGAGCCGGGTGACCGAAACATTTTTCACTTTGCTGTTTTCTCTACATGTACATTTTTTATTACTTACGATATTCTTGACAAAGTAAGATCCCTCGAATGATGTATTTAGGTGTTTAACTTCACAATTCAATGTGTGTTGACTGTGTCTATGTGACTGCTGAGGTTCTTCATTGCAAAATGATGACGTTTTTCATTAAGTTAAGTATTTTGGCTTTGGAAAACCAATGTGTTTCTTTAGTTTGGTTCCAAACGGGAAATTTTTCACTCCAGGTTCCTCAGAATCCTTCTAACATGTTTAACTAAGAAAGTTCGTTAATTCCTCTCTGCCTTGATTTATTAGTAAACATTCTCTTCATTCCATATAGTTTTTCATTTCATCCTGAGATCGCTGAGGAAGTGATTACTTCGTAGGCTATTACAACTATATGGTTCGCAATCTCTAAAGTAGGTCACCTTGTTCGCTTCTGCTATTTCAAGAAAACGACTAAGCACGACGGCAAGCCTATTGAATAAACGTAAACCTTTGGTAGACTTAAGCTAAATAAACAAAAAGACGCATCAAAAATAATCTTGGTTGGTAAGCAGTAAATCAAAGCAAGCTTATCTAAATAAATAAGCTTCTCATTAGACTCAATCATCTGATTCATGTTGGGTTTGGCTGATGAGAGTGTTGTGTAGAGAATCTCATGGTGAATAGAAAGGTGCGGTTTGATGCATTCAGCCAAAAACCTCTGGTGTTAGCTTTTAGTTCGTTCCAGATCAACATTAACGCAGGTGAAAACTAAAGGACAAAGTTTTATAACAAGCTTTAATAGTGGTGTGAATTATTAGGCATTTGGATCAGAGACGGATGTCGATAAATCCATAAGCAATGAAGCAGATCTGTCGTATCATCCTGAAGAGGAACGCTTAATAGAAGACTTTATACTGTTCTACAACACGCGCAAGTGGGTGTTCAGATCTTCTGATAGCAACATACAATTAGGTTGTTATGAGAACAACACTCGATGAGTTATGATAAGCTACTTTATGATGCATTCAGACAACCATGATTCTTTTACTGTGCTCATTCTTGGTTTTTGAAGAAAGAATTGTGGTGATACAATTCAATTCGGTTTATTTTCCGACGTTATACTATCGAAAACATTAGTAAACTCCTAGTTTTAAACCAGTAACAGAATAACTGTTAGCTGAGGCTAAAAATGCGTAAATATCAGTAGGTTTATCTAGTGACTATCTGTAACACTCGTGTCTTCTAACCGAAAGTTGTACAACCCAATTTTTTCTAGTTTTTGACATGCACCGATCAATATCGATAGAACACAATAGTTTGGCGCATATCATTTGCCCCAATTTGTGATACGAATAAATATGAGAGTACAAATTATAAAATAC